TTATTTGGAAGGTAGTGAGAAGGGGCCGAAGCACTGGGGCGAGCTCCATCCTGAATGGGCGGCTTGCAGCAATGGGGATATGCAGTCTCCAATTGACCTGCACCAAAAAACGGTGGAGGTTCTGCCAAATCTGGGGTGCTTAAAGAGAGAATATAAGCCCGCCAAAGCAATCCTCAAGAACAGAGGCCATGATATAATGGTATCTCTCTCTCTGAGTCAGTTGAATAAAATCTAATTTTCATCTGGCTCATTCTCTCAGTGTGTATGCTTCATGAACACAAATGAAATTAATACTTCCTTTTTCATTTTTTCTTTTTTTTATGACTCCCTTTTAGTTAGTGTGTCGTATATACACACAAGTGAACGATCATCCCCCCTCTTATGTTTTATTTGAACACAACGTTTTTCCATTAGCCAAAAGATTTCCATCTCCCTTAGGAGGATACTATCCTTTCCTCCCTCGAGCAAACATTTTGGATTTCAAATTTTGGGAAGTAATTTTTACAACCCAGACACCAGCCTTGGTAAAAAAAAGCAATTTAAAAAATAAACTCTCAATTTATTAGAAAAAACTTATGCCTCAATATTGAGACCCTCTAATTTTTTGAAGGGCTAGATCCAAATATTACAAAACTTAAAATTCAAAATTTTTCTTAAAAAAATTATCAGCTAGTAATTATTATATGTTTTTCAAGATTTTAGGCTAAAAAATTTCTCCTAAATAGATATTTGAGTGATGGAGGAGAATCACAGTATGCTCCTGCAGTAGCAGAGTATAATGCGCTCTTTCCTTTATTAAGTGTGCAATTGTTTTTTGGGCCATTCATCTATAATTGTAGTTGAACATTGTTCTCTCTCTACTTGTTCGTGTGTGTAACTGTAAATTGATGTGGCAGCTTAATTGGGGGGAAAGTGGAGCTGGAACACTTGAAATAAACCATACGGAGTATGTTCTCAAGCAATGTCATTGGCATTCACCCTCCGAGCACACTTTCAATGGTAGAAGGTAAATTAATTAATTAATTATGCTGTGTGTGGGTCTCTCTCCTTTTTGATAGTTAGCAAGTCAAGGAATAATAAAATCTCGACCAATCAAAACATCGGTAATAAATCATTTTTATTTTCAAAGTTATAGAATCGTGAATATTTTGGATTTGGTTAAAAAAAAACATAGTTAAAAAATCGAATATCTAAAGAGGATTACAATATAGAATTATGATTTGCAGCTATTGTATGGATATATTAAGCCATTAAACAATAATTTTAGAAACGCTTGACAATTTTTTGTTGAAATTTTTAATCTAGCAACAATGCTTACACTATTGTCATAGTACAAATATATCATAGATTTATGGGGAGCATAAAATGAAACAACAACAACAATATTGAACATAAGAACAAATTAGCAAATAACAAGAATTGTGAATCAGCGTATAGGATTATTAAAAAAAAAAAAAAAAGCTCCCAAAATAAGAATGCAGTTATTTAAAAGAAAACACAAAGACCCAAATCTATAAAATAGTGACCCATCCAAATTTCTATGTTGTACACACCAATGAAATAAGTTAAAAAAACTATGAAATTAATCATACTTTTCTATACATAAAAAAACAAAAATATTTATGCAAATTCGAATCTCGCACTGAATTCTTAGCTATCCAAATCTTTAATATCATTGAATCTCACTCTTGCTCTTTATACGGACGAAATGGGCCTAAAAATAAATACATAAAAGATTTTTCATTGGATTATTCTTCTTTTAATTCTACTTATTATTTTGAGATATACGATTGTTTGATTATTTTTTTTGGAGTAATATATTGCTTGTAATTTTTCTTATACCTTTTTTAAGGGAACTCATTGGTGAAGTTTTCCCACTGTTAATGCACTTATCTATAAATTAAAATTCATTAATATGTGGAGAAGTTTTGATTAAAAGTCTTTCTGAAAAAGGATAAAATTCGGATTTATATCAGTTCCATTAAAAAACGTGATATTTTGGAGATCTTTTTAAAAATTGAGAGTTCTTAACGGATATCAAAAAGTAATATTTTTTTTAAAAAAAAAATTTGTTTTAACTGGAGACTTGCTAACTATGCTCCTTTTATACTTTCGATTAATTGCTTGCCGTCATTTCAGTCCATGACCTTTTGCTCCTGTCGTGCACTTATTTCATAAATGTATTGCTATCACCTTTACTTACCAAAATTGACACAAAATAATGCGGGTTTGTGTGATTCAGATACTCATTAGAGATGCACTTGGTTCACGAAAGCAAACAAGAGAAGAGAGCGGTGGTTGCGATTGCCTACAAAATTGGCAGACCTGATTCCTTTCTTAAGGAGGTAATCATGCTCTCTCTCTCTAACGGCATTCTCTCTCTCTCGATTCCCCACCAAAGTAATGCTACAGCATATGACAAACCGGCCGGATTGAACCGGAACGGGCGGGGTTACTCTGAACTGGCCTTTGGTCGGTCTAGATGTGTTTCGTTAAAGTTTATTTCAAATATAATTTTTATATTTTTTAGATTCATCATATATATATATATATATATAAGAGTATTTGGCC